AGACAACCGACAGAATGGGAAAAAATATTTGCAAACTATGCAACAGATAAAGGGTTAATAACCAGAATCTACAAAGAGATCAAGAAACTCCACAAAAACAAAACCAACAACGCACTTAAGAGATGGGCCAAGGACCTCAATAGACATTTTTCAAAAGAGGAAATCCAAATGGCCAACAGGCACATGAAAAAATGTTCAAGGTCACTAGCAATCAGGGAAATGCAAATCAAAACCACAATGAGGTTTCACCTCACCCCAGTTAGAATGGCTCACATTCAGAAATCTACCAACAACAGATGCTGGCGAGGATGTGGGGAAAAAGGGACACTAACCCACTGTTGGTGGGAAAGCAAACTGGTCAAGCCACTATGGAAGTCAGTCTGGAGATTCCTCAGAAACCTGAAGATAACCCTACCGTTCGACCCAGCCATCCCACTCCTTGGAATTTACCCAAAGGAATTTAAATTGGCAAATAAAAAAGAGGTCTGCACCCTAATGTTTATTGCAGCTCAATTCACAATAGCTAAGACCTGGAACCAACCTAAATGCCCATCTACGATAGACTGGATAAAGAAATTATGGGATATGTACTCTTTAGAATACTATACCGCAGTAAGAAACAACGAAATCCAGTCATTTGCAACAAAATGGAGGAATCTGGAACACATCATGCTGAGTGAAATAAGCCAGTCCCAAAGGGACAAATACCATATGTTCTCCCTGATCGGTGACGACTGACTGAACACCAAGAGGGAAACCTGTTGGAGTGAGGTGGACACTATGGGAAATGGTGGCTTGATCAGCATAGCCCTGACTGTTAATGAACAACTTAATACATTATCCCTCTTAGTAGTTTTTTTATCTGTTCTACTTAATATGACTGGTTTAGATCTGTAATTGATGCACAGTTATTCTTAGGTGTTGAAAATTGACTGAAATGTGATCACTGTTGAACATGGGAGTGGGAATGGGAGAGGGAAGAGATGTATAGTTTGGGACATGCTCAGGCTGACTTGCCCCAAGTGGTGGAGTTGGAAGCATACCAGGGGATTCCAATTCAATCCCATCGAGGTGGCATGTACCAATGCCATCTCACTATTCCAGGTGATCAATTTCAGTTCACAGTTGGTCATGGTGGAGGGACTGAGAGTCAAAGGGAGCACATAGACAAGTCTAGTACCTGCTAACGCTAACTGATGGAGTAAATAAAGGGGAGAGTGATCCAACATGGGAAGTGACATACTCAGCAGACTCATAGAATGGCAGATGTCCTGAATAGCACTCTGGCCTCAGAATCAGCCCTAAAGGCATTCGGATCTGGCTGAAAAGCTCATGAGAGTGTTTCAGGCATGGAAAGCCAAGACACTCTGGCAAAAGATCTCTGTGAGTGAGATCCCAGTGGAAAGAACAGGTCATCAAAGAAGGAGGTACCTTTCTCTGAAGGGAGGAGAGAACCTCCACTTTGACTATGACCTTGTCTAAACAAGATAAGAGTCGGAGAACTCAGAGGGCTTCCATAGCCTTGGAAACTCATGACTGGAGCATAGGGAGACTACTGATGCCATAGACAGGAGTGTCAATTGGTAAAGTCAACAACAGGAGTCACTGTGCACTTACTCCTCATGTAGGATCTCTATCCTTAATGTGCTGTGCATTGAGATTTAATGCTATAACGAGTACTCAAACAATGTATTTCACCTTGTGTTTCTATGGGGGTGCAAACTGTTGAAATCCTTACTTAATGCATACTAAACTGATCCTCTGTAAAAAAAAAAAAAAAAAAAAAAAAAAAAGAAATTATCAATTCCCAACTTGACTCTCACTGGGATTAAACATGACAATAGGTCTGCTCTGATTTCATCATCATTTTAAAAAAATCATCTATTATTTTTCACTTTATGTTTCTGTGTGGGAGCAAACTGTTGAAATCCATACTTAATGTATACTAAGCTGATCTTCTGTATATTAAGATAATCGAAAATGAATCTTGATGTGAATGGAAGGGGAGAGGGAGTGGGAAAGGGGAGGGTTGTGGGTGGAGGGACGGTATGGGGGGGAAGCCATTGTAATCCATAAGTCGTACTTTGGAAAATTGTATGCATTAAGTAAAAGTTTAAAAAAAAAAAAAAAAAAAGAAAAAATAGGAAAAAAAAAAAAAAAAAGAAAAATGTCTATTGAGGTTCTTGGCCCATCTCTTAAGTGGGTTGTTTTGGAGTTTCTTGATTTCTTTGTAGATTCTGGTTATCAACCCTTTATCAGTTGCATATTTTGCAAATATATTTTCCCATTTTGTCGGTTGTCTCTTCACATTCCTGACTGTTTCTTTTGCAGTACAGAAACTTCTCAATTTGATGCAATCCCAAATGTTGATTTTGGCTTTGACTGCCTGTGCTTCTGGAGGGTTTTCCAAGAAGTCATTGCCGGTACCTGTATCTTGCAGGGTTTTTCCAATGCTCTCTAATAATTTGATGGTGTCAGGTCATAGATTTAAGTCTTTAATCCATGTTGAGTGAATTTTTGTGTAAGGTGAAAGTTAGGGGTCTTGCTTCATGCTTCTGCACAAGGAAATCCAATTTTCCCAGCACCATTTATTGAATAGACTGTCCTTACTCCAGGGATTGGTTTTGGATCCTTGATCAAATATGAGTTGGCTGCAGATGTTTGAATTGATTTCTGGTGTTTCAATTCTGTTCCATTGGTCTATCCATCTGTTTCTGTACCAGTACCATGCTGTTTTGATTACAACTGCCCTGTACTATGTCCTGAAATCTGGTATTGTGATGCCTCCGGCTTTGTTTTTGTTGTACAAGATTGCTTTGGCTATTCGAGGTCTCCTGTGTCTCCATATAAATTTCAGCATCATTTTTTCCAGATCTGAGAAGAAGGTCTTTGGTATCCTGATTGGTATTGCATTGAATCTATAAATTGCTTTTGGGAGAATGGACATTTTGATGATATTGATTGTTCCAATCCATGAACATGGAAGATTTTTCCATTTCTTGGTATCCTTTTCTATTTCTTTCTTTAAGGTTTTGTAATTTTCATCGTAGAGATCTTTAACATCCTTGGTTAAGTTTATTCCAAGGTATTTGATTGTTTTTGTAGCTATTGTGAATGGGATTGATCTTAGAAGTTCTTCTTCAACCATGGCATTGTCTGTGTATACAAAGGCTGTTGATTTTTGTGCATTGATTTTATACCCTGCTACTTTGCCAAACTCTTCTATGAGTTCCAATAGTCTCTTAGTAGAGTTCTTTGGGTCCCCTAAATAAAGAATCATATCATCTGCAAAGAGGGATAGTTTGACTTCTTCCTTCCTAATTTGTATCCCTTTAATTTCTTTTTCTTGCCTAATAGCTCTGGCTAGAACTTCAAGAACTATATTGAATAGCAGTGTTGAGATGGGCATCCCTGTCTGGTACCAGATCTCAGTGGAAATGCTTCCAACTTTTCCCCAATCAATAGATGTTGGCTGTGGGTTTTTCATAGATTGCTTTGATTGTATTGAGGAATGTTCCTTCCAAACCCAGTTTGCTTAGAGTTTTCATCATGAACGGGTGTTGTATTTTATCAAATGCTTTCTCAGCGTCTATTGAGATAATCATATGGTTTTTCTTCTGCAGTCTGTTAATGTGGTGTATCACATTGATTGTTTTGCGAACATTGAACCATCCCTGCATACCAGGGATAAATCCCACTTGGTCTGGGTGGATGATCTTTCTGATGTGTTTTTGCATTCTATTGGCGAGAATTTTATTGAGGATTTTTGCATCTATGTTCATCAGGGATATTGGTCTGTAATTCTCTTTCAATGCTGCATCTTTTTCCTGCTTAGGAATGAAGGTGATGCTGGCTTCATAGAAAGAATTTGGGAGGACTCCCTCTTTTTCAATTGTTCTGAATAGTTTGAGAAGAATTGGAGTTAGTTCTTCTTTAAATGTCTGGTAGAATTCAGCCATGAATCCATCTGGTCCTGGGCTTTTCTTTGTTGGGAGGGCCTTTATTACTGTTTCAATTTCTGTCTCAGTTATGGGTCTGTTTAGGTTTTCGATGTCTTCCTGGTTCAATTTAGGTAGGTTGCATGTGTCCTGGAATCTATCCATTTCTGATAGGTTTCCCTGTTTGCTGGCATACAAGTCCTTGTAGTAATTTCTGATGATTCTTTTTATTTCTGTGGTGTCTGTTGTTACGTTTCCTTTTTCACCTCTGATTTTATTGATTTGGGTCTTTTCTCTTCTTTTTTTTAGTTAGTTGGGCCAATGGGGTGTCAATTTTGTTTATTTTTTCAAAAAACCAGCTCCTTGTTTGGCTGATTTTTTGTAAAGTTTTTTTGGATTCAATCCTGTTGATTTCTTCTCTGATTTTAATTATTTGTCTTCTCCTACTAGATTTGGGTCTGGTTTGCTGTAGGTTTTCTAGATCCTTGAGGTGAATTGAAAGCTCATCTATTTGGTGCCTTTCCAATTTCTTGATGTAGGCACCTATTGATATAAACTTTCCTCTTAACACTGCTTTTGCTGCGTCCCATAAGTTTTGGTATGTTGTGTTGTTATCCTCATTTACTTCCAGAAAAATTTTGATTTCTTGTTTAATTTCTTCTATGACCCATTGTTCACTTAGGAGCATGTTGTTCAATCTCCATGTGTTTGCGTATGCTCCAGGGATTCCTGAGTTGCTAATTTCCAACTTCATTCCTTTATGGTCTGAGAAGCTGCATGGTATGATTCTAACTCTTTTGAATTTGCTGAGACTTGCTTTATGGCCTAGTATGTGGTTAATCCTAGAGAAGGTTCCATGCACTGCTGAGAAGAATGTAAAATGTTTAGCTGTAGGATTGAAAGTTCTGTATATATCTATTAGATACATTTGTGCTATAGTGTCGTTTAAATCTACTGTATCCTAGTTGATCTTCTCTCCTGTTGATCTGTCTATTTCTGAGAGTGGAGTATTGAAGTCCCCCAGTACTATTGTATTGGGGTCTAAGTCTCCCTTTAAGTCCCTAAACATATCTTTTAAATAGACCGGTGCCCTGTAGTTAGGTGCATATACATTTATAACAGTTACATCTTCCTGTTGAATTGAACCCTTAATCATTATATAGTGCCCTCTTTGTCTCTCTGAACAGTTTTTGTGGTAAAGTTTATGTTGTCCGATATTAAGATGGCTACGCCTGCTCTTTTTTCTTTTCTGTTGGCATGGTATATCTTTTTCCAGCATTTCACTTTCAGTCTGCATGCATCTTTGTTGGAAAGATATGTTTCTTGTAAGCAGCAAATAGGTGGGTTTTGTTCCTTAACCCAGTCAGCCAATCTGTGTCTTTTAACTGGACAGTTCAAGCCATTAACGTTCAGTGTGACTAATGATACTAATGATAAGTGGTAACTTTGCCCTGCCATTTGCCAAAGATAAGTTCTAATACATGCTTTGAATTCCCTGTGATCTTTTGCTGTGAGGTTTCCTTCCTTTACCTTCTTTCATATTGATGACCGTGTTTCTGTGTTTCTGTGTTTAACACATCTTTAAGCATCTTTTGCAGGGCTGGACGAGTGGCAACAAATTCTTTCAATTTCTGTTTTCTATGAAAGGTCTTTATTTCACCTTCATTCACAAATGATAGCTTTTCAGGATATAATATTCTGGGCTGGCAGTTTTTCTCTCTTAGTACCTGGGCTATATCTCGCCATTCCCTTCTAGCTTGTAGGGTTTCTGATGAGAAGTCAGCTGTGAGTCTGATTGGAGATCCTCTGAGAGTAATCTGACGTTTCTCTCTTGCACATTTTAGGATCTTTTCTTTATGTTTCGCTGTGGAAAATTTAATTACAATGTGTCATGGTGAGGATCTCTTTTGGTCGTGTTTATTAGGGGTTCTGTGAGCTTCCTGTACTAGGATTTCCCTGTCCTTCTCCAAACCTGGGAAATTTTCTGCTAATATCACACTAAAAAGGCCTTCTAATCCTTTCTCTCTCTCCATGCCTTCAGGAACTCCTAGAACCCGAATGTTGGGTTTTTTAATAGTATCCTGAAGATTCCCAACAATATGTTTTAGATTTCTAATTTCCTCTTCTTTCCTTTGGTCTGACTGTATCCTTTCCTGTTCTCTGTCTTCTAAGTCCGATATTCTCTCTTCTGCTTCACCCATTCTGTTTGTAAGGCTCTCTATTGTGTTTTTCATTTGATCTATTGAATTCTTCACTTCATTATGATTTCTCATTACTATCACAGTTTCCAGAGTCAGGTTTTTCTGCTAGGCTCAGGGCCGGTGTAGATCTGAGTTCACTCTGCTTATGACGTATGTCCAAGATGGCACCTGCTCTTTGTCTTGCTTGCCTTTGAGAGGTGAGCGGAGAGAGAGAAACCCGTGTCCGTATCAGTCACTTTATTATTTTTTTCCTCTCTCTCTCTCTTCTAGTTAGCCTGGTGAACTTTTCCTCCCGGGGTTGTTCCCTCTAGTCTCCTCTTTCTGCTTGCCTGCCAGTGTCTCGGGCTATTGAGGTTCGGCTCACCTCATGTTCCAGCGCTGGTGTGTTGAGTCTGCCGCTGGTGTCCCGAACTGTGGGCTCCCACGCTCTCCACACAGGTCCACTGTGAATCACTCGTTCCGGAAGAGTTTCTTCTGCTGTTTCTTCCCCTACTCTTCCTTGAACCTGCAGTATCTCCACTTTTATTAAACTGTCTCTCCCCGGACTATCAGTGTGCTCCCTTCCTATTCCGCCATCTTGCCTCCTCTCCTGAGTTTTTGATTCTTGGCTGTAGCCTGGCCCAGCCTCAGCTATTGCAGGCATTTGCAGAATGAACCAGTG